ATTGTAGATGAAAACTTGCAGGATGACTTTTTTTTTAAATTTAGAGGTGGTAGTAACCCCTAGAACAACTTTGATTGTATTACATAATATTGACTTGGTGGATACAAAAACCAGAAATGCAAAATGAAGAATCTGAGTGTTTTTAATATTTTTTTTATTTTAATACTTTCTATTAAAAGTTTATTATTTTAGTTAATTACACATTTTAAATATCAAATCTAAATATGGTAGCTACTCATTTTAAATATTCAAGTTAATCGAATTTAAATTTCCTCTAAAATATGCATAAATTGAACATATATATATATATATATATATATATATATATATATATATATATATATATATTATGTATATGGTTTAAATTTGTTTTGCATTGGTAGTTAATTACTATACAATCATGTAATGAAAATCAAAAGTTTCATATTTAGTTCTTATTAATATACATGAAATGATGCAATTGCATATATTGAAAAAGTAGTATATAAATTTAATAAAGTATATTTTATTGGTAGTTTTATTTAAAAAAATGTAATATTTTGCAACTATTTCAGGTAAGCACTTTAGCAAGTTGTTTGTATATTATATTTATTAATTACTTTATTTTTATTTTGTGAAAATATTTCATGCTGAAAATTGAATTGTAGATGTATCATATCTTTTTCTTTAGCATAATATTCTTTTTAATTTTATTGTGATGAAGATTGTATTTATGAGTTTAGACATTGGATGGATTAATAACTATCATATTCTTTTTAATTTTACTGTGGTGATGATGAAGATTATACAGATGAGTCATGAGTTTACATTGGACAAATTAACATGGATGTTAGTAAAGGATGTGGCAACACCTAACAGGCACAATTAATATATAGATTAATTAGTCTGGCTGGTGTAATCGAAATTACTAATAAATGAGAATATATATTTTCTTTTGTAGTTTACCTACTAATGTAGCTTACTAAGATGTTTGTAATAACTTTTTATTTTAATACGGTGTATTAAAAGTTTATTATTTTAGCTAATTACTCATTTTAAATATCAAATCTTATTTAATTGATAGTATATTTTTAGAAATCAATAAAATAATAGTATGTTTTTTTTTTCAATTGTAATATCGCAATGTTTCCTATATAGTTATTACATAACAAAACTTTAAAATGAATAAAGGTTACATATCGTATTTACACATGAAACGTATTTATAGTAACAGTTGTTAGTATTATAAAATTACTTCAACATATAAATATTAAAAAAAATTGTTATTGATAATTAAATAATTAATATGTATTAAAAAGAATCATTGACTAAGAAAAAATGGCATGAAAAGTAGATCAGTTTGAAAAAGAAATGATAAATAATACATGATTAAAAATGACACATAATATATTACTGAAAAAAGTAGATCAATTTGAAAAGGAAATAATAATTAATACTTGATTAAAAATGACACAGAATATATTACTGAAAATAATATATATATATATATATATATATATATATATATATATATATATATATATTATTAATTAACTAATTAATATGTATTGAAAAATCATTGACTGAGAATAAAAATGGCATGCAAATTATACCAATTGAAAAAGGAAATAATAATTAATATTTGATTAAAATGGCATGAAATATATAAATTCTGAATATATATCGGAAATTATATTAATAATTATAGTATAAATTAATTGATATGTATTAAAAAAAATTGACTAAGAATAAAAATGACATGAAAATTATACCAATTGAAAAATGAAATGATTATTAATAATTGATTAAAAATTAAAAAATGATTCCAAATTAAATCAAATGAAAAATAAAATTGTCAGACCGTCCAAACAATAGTATAAGTAAACTGGAAAAAGAATTTGTTAATTGGAAAAATAATTGACTGAGATTGAAGATAGCACGAAATGTATAAATTGTAGTATAATATTTTAAGAAAAAAAAAAGGATCCTTATATTGACCATGTCAAAAAGGAAATATATGTAAAATCGAAAAACTATATATTATTACAAATTTATTGGAAATATTAAAAAAATTATTATTATTAATTAACTAATTAATATGTATTCAAAAAATTTATTGATTGAGAATAAAAAATGACATGTAAATTAGGTCAATTGAAAAAAGAAATGATAATTAATACTTGATTAAAAATGACATGGAATCCTTTTAAAAAAATGGCACGAGATCTGTAATTTTCAAATATATAATGACAATTATATTAATAATTATAGTATAAATTAATTGATATGTATTAAAAAAATATTTAATTGAGAATACAAATGGCATGAAAATTAGGCTAATTGGAAAAGGAAATTATTATTAATACTTGATTTAAAATTAAAAATAATTCCAAATTAACTCAAATGAAAAAAAAAAAAAAAGAATTGCAACTCCGCCCAAATAATAGTATATATAAATTGAAAAAGAAATCTGTTAATTGAATAAATAATTGACTGAGATTAAAAATGACACGAAATATACAAATTATGGTATAATATTTTTTTTAAAAAAAATCTCCAAATTAACAATGTCGAAAAGGAAACGAATTAACAATAGTATATCTAAATTGGAAAATGGTATATGTTATTAATAATTTACTGAAAATAAAAATAAAAAATATTAATAATTATCTAATTAATATGTATTAAAAAAGAATTATTGCCTGGTAATAAAAATGACATAAAAATTAAGTCAATTGGAAAATAAAATGCTAATTAATACTTGATTAAAATGGATCAGAATATATTACTAGAAATAAAGAAATATGCTATTAATAAATAACTAATTAATATGTCTACATATAATTAAAAGTAAAATCATCCTAGCCAAATTCCCCCCCCCTCCCTCCCCCCCCCCCCTCAAATTTACGGGTATTTCTGTAATATCTGTGTATATATAATTAGTCTATATATAATTCATAAATATTCTGTATGTGACTAAGTAGTTATGGAAAAAATATTACGGTAACTAATTAATTAGTTTATAAAATTTATTCTGTGTGAAGTTTAGTTGACTAAAATTTAATTAATTATAAAAATTATATATTCATATCCGTGTATATATAAGTAGTCTATATATATTTCATAAATATTTTGTATGTGACTAATTAGTTATGGAAAGAATATTATGGTAATTTATTAATTAGTTTATAAAATTTATTCCGTGTGAAGTTTAATTAACTAAAATTTAATTAATTATAAAATTTATATATTCATGTAGTCCTTTTTGGTAAGCATATGTTTAATAGAAATTAATTAAATATATAAATAAATTTAGCTTACGCTCTTATTATCATATACTTAAATATTTTATATTTTTTTGCTCAAATAATTAATAATTAATATTTTTAATTATTTTAAAATTTGTTTATCATTAAAATTTTGAATTATTTAATATTTTGACTAGGAGTTGAAGGGGAATGGAGAATCCCCGTCCCCGCCTAATTCTCCGCTAGGACGGGGATGAGGAATATTTTCAATTCTCCGCCGGGGACGGGACGGGATGGGGATGGGAACGGGGTCGCAGTGATGGGGACGGGGAGTATACTCCCCGCCCGCCTCGCCCCGTTGCCATCCCAGAATATGTACTTAAAAATGGAAAATGGTTACCAAATTCTAAGAATAAGTAACCATTATAATTGTGAGAATAATGGAAACAAATTCTGCGTAATAAATCAGAAAATTCTTTTGAAATTTTGCGTAATTTTATAAGAAAATAATAATTTATTAATTATTATTTACAACAATCTATACTATTAATAAAATACAAATTATCCTCTTTAAATTTTCCACCCAAACTAATAAAAAATATTAATTAATTCGTAAAAAATTTAATAAAGCTTAATTGGTAACAAAATTTTATATGGAAATTAACTAATATCTAATGAATTGTTACCCCAAATTAAAGTCAATATGTACTTAAAAATGAAAAATAGTTAACAACTTTTGTGAATAATTAAACCATTATAATTGTGAGAATAATTAAAACAAATTCTGCGTAATAAATGGAAAAATTCCTTGAAAATATTGTACTACCATCATCATTCAACTCAGGGTGAAAAGAATTATACTACCATCATCATTCACATGCGGAGCTAGGTATATGATTCAAAACTATCAAGATGAAATGGAATATGCAGGCACATCGGTTATCCTCATCTGTTCATAACATTCACATGCAACCCGAAGTGGACTGAGATTGAGTGCTATGTTGCACAACGTGGGCTTAAAGCAGAGGATAGACTCGATATTGTTTGTCGCGTGTTTAAGATGAAATTTGATGCTATGATTGAAGATATCAAGACGGAAAAGCTGTTTGGCGACATATGTGGAGGTATTTGATTATCATACATACTTTAATGTGCCTTAATTAAATTTAAATTTCATGTATAAAATTACTTTTTTTTTATTTTAATTTTCTGCACAGTTATCTACACAATTGAATTTAAAAAAAGATGACTCCCTCACGCGCACATATTGCTATTTGCCAAAAGAATGAATCGGGCACATTCCACACCGGAAGTTGATGCCTTGATTTCTACTGAAATTCCAGACCAAGATGCGGACAATAAGTACAATGACGCAGTTAGCGAATTTATGTTGCACGGACCGTGTGGACAACTCCGGAAGAATTCGCCATGCATGGTAAATGGTAAATTTTCAAAGTATTTCCCCAAAAAATATGTTAGTCAGACGATTCTGGATAAAGATGGTTACCTAATCTACAGAAGGCATGACAATGGACGCATAAAATAATATTGAAGTGTGGACCTGATCCAATTGCAACTATATTTGAAAGCATCTTCCCAACCGCGAAGTATGGAATGCTAGAAGAGTCGCACCTAGAAGGACGAGCGATCCTCTCACCGACTTTAGATGTTGTTTATCAAATTAATCAGTATATGTGTGACATGAACACTGCAGAAGGTCAGACGTATTTAAACTGTGACCCTTTGTGTAAGGTAGAATCAGATAGATGGTGATAATCTCTCACAAGTACACACTCCTGAATTTTTAAATAGATTGAGATTGTCTAGACTTCTTAATCATTCATTGACAATAAAGGTTGGTGTACCTGTTATGTTACTGCGAAACATAGACCACTCTCTTGGTCTTTGCAACGGTACGCGCCTCATCGTTACAAGATTGGCGGATCATATTGTCGAAGCAAGAATAGTTAATGGAACGCAGCAAGGAAACAAAGTTCTTACACCACAAATGTCTCTCACCCCTTCTGATACGAGATTGTCATTCAAGTTCCAGCGTAAACAATTCCCGTTGATGCTAGCATATGCAATGACTATCAACAAAAGTCAGGGTTAAACACTAACTCACGTTGGCTTATTGTTGAAAAAATCAGTCTTTAATCACGGTCAATTGTATGTGACTTTTTCCCGAGTCACTCATCCTGATGGCCTTAAGGTTTTAGCTCTAGATGAGGATGGACAAACTTCTGTTAGTACTACTAATGTCGTCTACAAAGAGGTTTTCAACAATGTCTAATTCAAAACAGTTATATTATGTATACTTCTTGCACAAATATAACAAAATTGTTACATATCTACATATTACGTATATATTCCGTTACAAAAATTTCTATAGCTAAATTACTACACGTAAAGATAATGAGACCAATTAATTCAATTCCGAAACTTTCATACAAACCTTTCAACGTTAAAATTTGCAATATCGGATATGAAGCAAATTATAATTCATATATTATAACGAATACATACCGTGCATCGCACGGGTGCAAATACTAGTAATGATAAAAAATAAAAACAAGTACAAAGAGAAGTGTGCAACACAGTAAGACACCATACAAATCTAGTCCACCTAAATAGTATGAGTGTTGTCCTCTATATAGCCAGAAATTGAACGATAACATCGCCCAAGGGTAAAATAGACAAACAATTTGATAAAATGCACAAAGTACAAAATATTTCATGAAAAAAGTTTTGAGCAAAAATTGACTGAGACAAATCAATTGGTACTTAAAATGAAAATTTTCATAAATCAGGACAAAAAAAGAGAATGTTACCAAAATATAAGGACTGAAAGTGTCTAAACTCAAGTTAATACATACAGTTGCCTTACAACCAGAAATTGCAGCGTTAAGTGAAAGGGCAAAATCGGGAGACAAATAAAACGTACGACACAAGAAGCACACAGAACAAACGGGCAATGCAACAAAACCCACAAAGATTTTTTTATTCCAATTAGGACTTCACAAAAACTCTCTCTCATAAATAGAAAAATTTCCATCACGCCCTGCTCGAACCCTGTCCTCCCGCCGCCGCCGCTAATCCCCTCACAAGTAGCGTCGCCGCTTTGGTATGTGCTCAGAGAATACTAGCTCCTCAACAATGGAGGGCTCTGATATGGAATTTCTACCGGAGCAAAACCTAGACTCCGAAGCCGATGACTTCTGCGCTGCCGTGTTATCCCAATTCAGCGATTCCGCCAACGAGTCTCACGTCCACATATGCACCGCCATCGGCGCAATGTCGCAGGAGCTAAAAGACCAGAACTTGCCACTCACCCCCATAACCTACTTCGGCGCTACTTGCTCATCCCTTCAGCGCGTCTCCACCGCCGAAGCCGAGGACCCCCAGCCTCACATCGTTGACGCTCTCTCCACCATTCTCTCACTCGTCATTGATAAAATCAGCAGAGCTGCGCTGCTAAAGAAATTCGATTATACTTCGAATCTCCTTGCCCGGATTCTCCGGCAGAAAACGACTGGTGTTCAGGGGATTGTCTCGTGTTTGAAGGGCGTTTCGTATCTTTTGCTTGTTAGAGAAAAGGCGAACTGGGCGGATGTAGCTGAGCTCTATGGTTTTCTTGTTGGTTTTATGGCGGATGATCGACCAAAAGTTAGTATTTTTGTTACAAAAATTTGATACGAGTTTTTATTTATTTATTTATTTATTTATTTTATTTTTTAAACACCATTGGTGGGTTCTTTGATGAAAAATTTCAATCTCTAACATAAATATTTGTGTGCACCTTAAAAAGTTGAGGTCTTTATTGGTTTTGGGTGAGAATTGATAATGAGCTTTTTCTTCGAGTGGCGGCATTCTGCTAATTATGTTTTCATCTACGAGTAGGAGAAAAATTATACCTTTACCTGCTTAGTAAGTGCAGAAAATTCCATGCAAACCTACTGGAAGAGGTATAAAAATCTAAATATTGTGTACTCTAGGAATAATAAATGGGGTGCAAATGGTCTGAAAACAACTTCAGCAGTATTGCTGTTGTAACACATTAGTTAAAAAATGTGTTCTTGCTTGGTCTGTCTTTTTCCTTGATTTTTACTCTGAAAGCTGAATTTATATGTAGAATCCTTTATGCTGCTCCAGACCTTTTTGGCACTGGAACTAGGCCAAGAATGTTAGTTCTTGCAAACTCACAATGATTGTGCCAATAGTTTTGATTTTGGTGTGTGATTGATGGCAGGTGAGGAAACAGTCTCACATTTGTCTTCGAGAGGTCCTACAAAAATTTCAGATGTCACCTGTGCTCACAGCTTTATTGGCACCTGCAAGTGAAGCTATTGGTAATGTCTTTGAAAGGTCTCTCCTACTTGCTGGAGGATCAAATGCGAGTGCTCCGGAGGGCCCGAAAGGAGCTCAGGAAGTTCTGTACATTCTTGATGCACTCAAAATTTGTCTCCCATTTATGTCCGTGAAGTCGTCAGTGAGCATTTTGAAATACTTCAAATCTCTCTTGGAATTGCGTCAACCTCTTGTTACCAGGCGTATAACAGATGCCATTAATGCCCTCTGCATCCACCCAACTGGAGAAGTTTCCCCGGAAGTGCTTCTTGATCTGTTATGCTCATTAGCCACATCAATTTCTGCACATCAGTCATCAGCTGATAGCATGACATTTACTTCTCGCTTGCTAGATGTTGGGATGAAAAGAATATATTCCCTAAATAGACAAATTTGTGTGGTTAAGCTCCCAGTGGTATTCAGCGCACTTAGTGGTTGGTTCTTTTCCCCTTTTATCAAAATTTTCAATTTGTCAAATAATTCCAAAGATTATTTTTGGGTGATGGCGATGGGGAGGTGTATTTCATTTTAATCACATGCAGATAAGTTCTGTTGCATTCAATAGAGCTAGTTTTTAGTTTAACGAGCAATGTCTGATTGTTGTATTTTGAGAGGTTTGCAGATGTTTTGGTTTCTGAACATGAGGAAGCATTGGTAGCTGCAAAGGAAGCTTTCAAGAACTTAATAAATGCATGCATTGATGAAAACTTGATCAAACAAGGTGTGGATCAGGTTATGAATTCTAATGAGGGAACAAGGAAATCTGCCCCAACAATTATTGAAAAAGTATGCGCAACAATTGAAAGCTTGCTTGATTATCAATATGCGGCAGTCTGGGATATTTCGTTTCAAATTGTTTCAACAATGTTTGACAAACTAGGTAGTTGCATTATTTTATCTTCACTCTTGTTATTTAATATTGGGAAAAAAAGTTCCATATCTTGTTATAATGTATTATGCAGATCCGCTAGTGATTGCAATGTGAATAACATTATCATCTTTGTTTGTTTGGTTTTTTTCTTTTCTTTTCTTAGACACTTGAAATAGTAGTTTCCTTCTTCCATTGCCTTTCAGGTCAATATTCTTCTTACTTCTTGAAAGGAGCACTTGAGAATTTGGCCGAGATACAAAAGTTACCTGATGAAGATTTTCCATTTCGTAAACAGGTAAGGCCACAAAATTACATGATTTTCCATTTCTTTCATTGCTCATTAATTTTATGTCATTTAGTTATTTCTGTCATTTGGGAGTGCAGGATTTCTTCCTGCGAAATTCTAATCTCTTCATTCTTTCTATTATGCTGATTTTCAATGCAAATTTGTCGACTAACATTCCCCTCATAAAAGAGTGACAATTGTGATTTAATTGGTGAACAGATATTCTTATTACAATAGAATGTTGATCACATTATCTAGTTGGCCACTTTTACTTTATGAAGCAATTATTTTAGCTAGATATGTTAATTTTCCTATCCACTACTCTTGATCTTATGTCTGTACTTCAGTTCGAATGCTCCTATGCATTTGATGCTCTTCAATTGTTGTGTTTTAAGAATTAATATTTTGTTTGAGATGATATGCTTTCAATTTTGTGTTGATTACTACTATGTTTTCAAACAATTATAGTTCTAAATGATGACTTGTTGATTACAGCTACATGAATGCGTGGGATCGGCTGTTGGTGCAATGGGACCTGAAGCTTTTTTAAGTATTCTTCCTCTGAATTTGGACTCTCGGGATTTATCCGAGGCCAATCTGTGGCTGTTTCCGATCCTGAAACATTACATTGTTGGTGCTCATTTAAGTTTCTTTACCAAGACAATTATGTCAATTATTGCAGCTATGAAGCAGCGATCTGCAGTGGTATGACTTTTCTGCCAAGTCTCTCCTGTTGGCTTGCTTTCTCCTTCTTTCATCTCTTCATGCATGTAAGTCCAGTGCTCTTTACTTTTTGCAGTTTGAGCAAGAAGGAAAGATCATCTCTGCGAGGACTATTGATGGCATCGTATACTCTTTATGGTCATTGTTACCCTCATTTTGCAACTATCCTTTAGACACTGCTGATAGCTTCAAGGCCTTGGAGAAGGTGCTAAATAAAGCTTTACGTGAAGAGCCTGATGTTCATGGTATAATATGCTCCGGTTTGCATATTCTCATTGAACAGAACAAGAGCATTGTAGAAGGAAAAGAGGATCTGTCTAACAGCGGGATGAGCATTCACAAGGAGCGAGCAATTGCTCGTTACAACTCACAAGTTGTAGCTGATAATTTGAATGCAGTAAGGGTCTCTGCTCGTGAATTATTATCTATTCTTTCTGGAGCCTTCTTGAAATCTTCGAAAGACACGATTGGACCTCTGCAGGTATCTTTTTAAATATATCTTCTCATTTATTCTTCTATTCTGGATAAATTTCTCTCCCCTTTTATTTTGTATTCATTTCAAAGTTCAAACAAAAACTAAAATGTGTTATATAGGCAAAATCCAAAATAGTTCTCGGTTGTAAATATAAAAAAACAGCTTACTATGCAATGTTGGCACATATGATAAATGATACTCCGTATTTATTAACATACATTTCCTATTAATTTTCTACGCGTCATATTGGCAAATGAACAGACTTCTTATTTTGCATCACCAATCATAGTACTGTAACTGAAATATTTATTGTCTACTGTTTAGATATACTTTAATATATTGTATGATAATGCATGTAATATACAGACGGTTATTGGTGAGCTGGCTTCCATTTCGGATAAAGAGGTAGTCACAAGGTTCTTCAAGAGTACTATGCAAAAACTTTTGAAGGTGACACAAGAGGCTGGTAAAACAGGCTCAAGAGATAACAATGCAATGCAAGTGGATAACTCTTCTGGTGAAGAATCATTGTCGTCAGTGAGGTAGAACCGCTAAATTGCTAATGAGCATTCCTTAAGTTTCCTCATTTTGTTAAACAGTTAAACAGTTTACTTCTGTAAACTAGTGTTCCAAATCAAGTTCCGTGATCACTAGTGACCTGCTATTTTCGTGTATTACATTATGTAGGGCTCAGCTATTTGATCTGGCAGTTTCACTTTTGCCTGGCTTAGACTCCAAGGAAATTGATCTCTTGTTCATCGCAATAGAACCTGCATTGAAGGTTAGCTTTTTTAATTGTCTTGGAGTCGTTCTTTAGCACTTTGAAATTACAACACCATATATTTCATGTGAGATGAATGGAATTCCTGATGTCCTACCTTTTTCATTTCAGGATGCTGAAGGATTGGTTCAGAAAAAGGCATACAAAGTTCTTTCAATCATGCTCCAAGTAATCTTTCCAGCTAATTTTGGCATGCTCTAAAATCATTGCTTATTCCTTCAAAGTAATGTGGAACTTTTGTTTGGAATAATAAACTCACTGGATCTCTATGAACAGAAATCTGACGAGTTTACTTCAAGGAGGCTTGATGAGTTGCTTAATTTGATGGTTGAAGCACTGCCATCATGCCATTTTTCTGCCAAGCGTCATAGACTTGACTGCCTGTATTTCTTGATTGTCCATATTTCCAAGGTGAGGAATAAGTGATTTGCGTGTTTTGCTAATCCATGTATTTCCATACTCCATAGTCGATTTTATTATGACTTTTAACCTTGTGTGGATAACGCACAGGATAACTCAGTACAGAGGAGGAGTGACCTTGTTGCTTCGTTTTTAACCGAAATTCTACTTGCCTTAAAAGAGGTGCAGTCTCTATTTTACTGAGATTATTTTGTTAATTTATCCTCATATATGCTTTAAACATGGATCGTAGATTTATCATGTGACTGAAACTTGGTACATGTCTTTAGATTAACAAAAGGACGAGGAACAGGGCATATGATATTCTGGTCCAGATTGGCCATGCTTGTGCCGATGAAGAGAGAGGTGGCAAAAAGGAGCACTTAGAGCAGTTGTTTAACATGGTATTGTTTGTGCTCTACTTGGTTTAATAAAGAAAAGTAAAATTTTCTCGTCTTATCTTATTGATATTTAATTTATCTTAACCTCTTGCTGGTAGGTCGCTGGTGGCCTTGCTGGGGAGACCCCTCACATGATTAGTGCGGCAATGAAAGGTTTAGCTCGGTTGGCCTATGAATTCACTGATCTTGTCGCTGCTTCGTACAATGTCCTTCCATCTGCATTTCTCCTTCTTAGGAGAAAGAACAAAGAAATAATTAAGGTTCGTATTGTTGAGCCATTAATGTGCAATCCAACTATTAGCTTAGGCTTTTAGTTGGGATGAAACACATGCTTCAATTTGGTATCAGAGCCAGACCAAAGGTCATGGGTTCGAATCTCAGCGCCACCCATAAGCGATTACGCTCCACGTTTTGCTTGGAACCCATCGCACACGTGAGGGGGCGTGTTGTGCCATTAATGTGCAATCCAACTATTAGCTTAGGCTTTTAGTTGGGATGGAACACATGGTTCAATTCGTATTTATCTGGTTTTACACTCGCACACCGTTTCTTACTTTTTTGTCAACGAAAGTTAACATCCCAGTGTCGTGAACTTTTTTACAAATGCAGGCTAATTTAGGCCTCTTGAAGGTATTGGTGGCCAAATCACAAGCAGAAGGATTGCAGGCTCATTTAAGAGGCATGGTGGAAGGCCTCCTAAACTGGCAAGATAGTACTAAGAACCATTTTAAAGCTAAGGTCTGCCCTCTTCTCCGTCTCTCGGTCTCTCGTTTTCATACGAACACCTTATGCCTATGAAAGAATTTGCTGAATTCGATTTTGTAGATTAAGCTGCTACTTGAAATGCTCGTCAAGAAGTGTGGCATGGATGCTGTAAAGGAAGTGATGCCCGAGGAGCACATGAAGCTCCTCACTAACATAAGAAAGGTTAGTTGGATTTCACCGTATAATAATGCATGCTTGTTGGTGATACAATTCATGGCGTGTTAAGCTCTACTTCTTCGAAAAACAGATTAAGGAGAGGAGAGATAAGAAGCTCAATGACAACTCTTCGGAGGAAAGTAAATCTCGTATGTCAAAAGCAACAACATCCAGGTTTTTCTCTCTCTCGTAAATATATTACTGAAATTCAGAGAATATAAAGTGTATAAAGTTTGACATAACTGAGCCTATTTACTAAGGATCCCGTCTTTTTTTCAGGCTTAGTCGATGGAATCATACAAAAGTTTTTTCTGATTTTGGTGATGATGAAACTGAGGATAGTGAAGCTGAGTCTATGGATATGAAGACCAGAAATGGTCGACAAAGTAGGGCCGATGCACATTCATTACGGTCAGTCTGATGGTGTTAATTTATTTTAGTTTTTAAACATTGAAGAAAGCTTTAAAGAGCAGTGTTAATACTGTGTAAAATTTTCAGGTCTAAGAAAACACGTAAATCATCGAGGAGCTTGCAAGAGGATTTGTTTGATCAATTAGACGATGAGCCACTCGACTTACTTGACCAACAGAAGACGAGGTTAGCTCTTAGATCCTCTGGAAATAACAAGCGCAAGGCAGAATCTGACGATGAGATGGAGATAGATGCCGAGGGGCATCTTATCATTCGTGAGGAAGACGGGAAGCCAAAAAGAAAGAAGTCACTCGACAGCGAGGCAGATGTAAGAAGTGAAACTGGCAGTCGCTCGTCAATGAACTCAAGAAAAACCCAAACCCAAACCCAGAAACGCAGGAAAACATCAGATGCTGGATGGGCTTACACAGGAAACGAATACTCAAGCAAGAAAGCAAGTGGCGACGTGAAGCGCAAGGGCAAACTCGAGCCATATGCCTACTGGCCCCTTGACCGCAAGATGATGAGCCGCAGGCCGGAACAACGCGCTGCTGCAAGAAAAGGCATGTCGAGTGTGGTGAAGATGACGAAGAAGTTGGAGGGGAAGAGTGTTGCTAACGCCCTTAAAATGAAAGGAGCAAAAGGGAGCAAGAAGAGGGGCACAAGCAAAAGTTAGATGAAGTAGATGCTGGTCCAAGTATGAAGTTGAAGTTGGGCTGTTAGTTGCTAATTATACTTTGCCTCCATCAAGGTCATTACTTGCCAACAATTTTGTTTGCTTACATTTATCCTCAACTCCTTGTAAGTTTGGTTTTATTTCATCAAATGCGATTGCATGAAATTGGTAGTGTGTATACTTGGTAGTTGCAATAGTTTGGTTGAATATAAATCGGTGATTGTTATTGAAACAGACATTTGTGAGAGAAGTATTTATTCTGTTTTTATATTATTACTTAATCATGTACCTAACTTATTTAAGCACAACATACATGTGCGGATATAAGCTTAAGTATGCCTTTGGAGCTTCAATTAATATTTGTACTTTCCATTTAGTATGACTGTATTTTCTGAGTTTAGTATGACTATGGAGCTTAATGCCATGAGACGTCTTCCTCCCTGATTCACTGTTTGGTGAGGGTAAATGGATGGGGCGGAAAAGGATTGACTCTGAGGGCTGGGCACGGGTCACTGTTTGGTGAGGGTACGAGTCACTGTTTGGTGAGGGTAAATGGATGGGGCGGAAAAGGATTGACTCTGAGGGCTGGGGTGAAAAATGGATGGGGCGGAAAAGAATTGGCTCTGAGGGTTGGGCACGGGCTAAGGATTGGCTCTGAGGGCTGGGCACGGGGGTCCCAGTCCCGAATCCGTCGGCTGTTCGGCGGACTGCTCGAGCTGCTACCGTGGCGAGAGCGGGTCGCCGCATGCCGGCCGAGGGACGGACTGGGAACGGCTCTTTTGGGGGCCTTCGACGTGGGCTGGGCACGGGGATCCCAGTCCCGAACCCGTCGGCTGTTCGGCGGACTGCTCGAGCTGCTACCGCGGCGAGAGCGGGTCGCCGCGTGCCGGCCGAGGGACGGACTGGGAACGGCTCTTTTGGGGGCCTTCCCCGAACGTCGAACAACCAACTTAGAACTGGTACGGGCAAGGGGAATTCGAACAAAACATTGCGATGGTCCCTGCGGATGCTAACGCAATGTGATTTCTGCCCAGTGCTCTGAATGTCAAAGTGAAGAAATTCAAGGATAAATTGATTTATAATTTCTGTGGATTTTATTGTGGTAGATGTTGGTGATGATGAATTTAATTGGAAGACCCTTTTTGACCACTTGCTATGCCATCATTGATGATTTTGTGTAACCTTAATTAATTTAGTTTACTAGTATTTTTGTTATTTTATTTCTAAATTTTTATTGACGAGGTTGAAATGAAGCTCATAATTTTATCAGCTATATTGTCATCATTTATTAAAAAAACTATGAATTGGTAATATTATTCATACATACATATATATATATATATATATATATATATATATATATATATATATATATATATATATATATAGCATTTGCATTATTAGAGGACATATAGGATTTACTTATACAATACAGCAGATTTAACTTTTGCAAAATATTTTAAGAAAATTTATAATTATTTAATATTCTATTAAAAAAACCTTCTAAATATGACCACTTTCCACAGCTCCAAACTGAATGCATTATTAGTGACATATAGGATTTACTTGATACAATGCAGCAGATTTAACTTTGCAAAATATTTTAAGAAAACTTATAATTATTTAATATCCTATTAAAAAAACCTTCTTAATATGACCACTTTCCACAGTGCCAAACTGAATTTGACCACTTCACATCTCTCAATGACATTGAAAGATGATAGTGTGTCTGACTTGAATGGCATGATCACCAATTCACCATCTCCACTTCATCTTCAGAAAATTAAATGCGATGGACATGGTATAATGGGTTCAAAGTTTCTAAGAGCATATTAGTTGGGGAGATTTGAGAGATAATGTAAGAGTGATTAGGAAAGAGAATGTGGGGGGAGAGAAAAAAAACAAAAACAAAAAATAACAAAACAAAAATTGAAAAAAAAATAATAAAAATCTGCCGCGTCAAGCGCGCTGTCAGCGCGCTTGACGCGCTACACGGGCGCGTGCATTGTACGCACCCGTGTAGACATTGTACGCGCACAGCCAGTTTTTTTTTTTTTTTTTTTTTTTTTTTTTTTTTTTTTTGACATTATCCTTGAACTTGTCGGATAAATATTTTCACAAATAACCCCACCCCCCATTTGTTATTATCTCCACCCAAGATAATTTATCTGACATTATCTCCCTAATATTCACTGATGTGGATGCTCTAAGTTTCTTGATTATATATATATATATATATATATATATATATATATATAATGCGAAGAGTCTCCTGAGTGAAATATGTGGTGACGACTCAAATCTAAATCAACGGTTCAAATCAATGAAAATTTAAAAAAAAAAATGAGTTTTTTGGGAATACAAAAACTAAGTGATAAATTGGTACACTTGAAGTGTTACAAAGACACACCTTAAGTACCCGCACGGGCTTAAATGGTTTAGTGGGCACTATTTGGGATAAGAGATCAATGTCCGAACCTCGGCGGCGACAGTGTGGGAATTATGTCCAAAGTGGACAGATTCCTACCCTGTCTACTAACCTATTGAGTCACCGTGATTTACATACTTATGCACCTTAAGCTTTGAAAATACGCAAAATTACCATAATATATGTCACCGTATTTTTTTTTAAAAATTTATGCTCATTCTGGCGGTTAATTTTGATAAGATCAATGATTGTGATTAATTCACATGTTTTTCGCATTTGATCTCTATTTTACATATATATATATATATATATATATATATATATATACACACTTCTGTTTTATAATTGTATACAACCCTTATGTAATAATGTCAATGTAGGTTCTAATTTTTGGTCTTTGAATTCACTCTTTCATGTCATATAATTATATCTGTCGATGGGTGACAAAGAGATCATTGACAAGTATTATATTATATTATATTATATACTCTAATCTTTAATTCTTTGTAAGGAGTATGATTAAAGTATACTTTTTAATTTTTTTTATTAGATTGAGTATTCTAGATTTAGAGATTATATTTTGAAGAACTGCATATATATTATTAGGTTAGCTAATAATAGATTTAGAGATTATAATAAAAAATATATTATTAGGTTAGCTAAAAAAATTGTGTAGAGGTTTGTAGGTCATGCTTGTTTTATATATATTATTACAATCAGAGTGTTAGAATTTTCAAATTAAAAAATTTGTTTTGGATAAGAGAGAGTCATTAGGCATTATTACTCAACAAATTAAACAACTTGGTAAATTTGCCTCTATATATAGCAATAATTCTAGCATCCTTTCTCTTCATCATCTATCGATCGATCACCATGGCTTCCCCTAACACCATTTTTGCACTAACCTTTCTTGTGTTTGCCTCTATCACCTCATCGCTGACGTGTGCGTATAATGTCACTCATGACGACAGAGCTATCGTCATCAACGGTGAACGCCGGGTTCTTCTTTCCGGCGCTATTCATTATCCCAGAAGCACTGCTCAGGTACACTGAATCCATAATGTTTTTCTTCCCGGCTTGACAACAATGTTGCCCTTAGCTTAAAGGATTCCAGTGTAATTAAGTTAGTTCATGGCTAACTAATTAACGTTAATTTCTTCCTTAATTGTAGATGTGGCCTGAGTTGATGAAGAAGGCGAAGGAAGGCGGGTTGGATGCAATTGAGACGTACGTTTTCTGGAACGCCCATGAGCCGGTCCGGCGACAATATGACTTTTCCGGCAACCGTGATCTCATTAAGTTTATCAAAACTTGTCAAAAAAATGGACTTTACGTTGTCCTCCGTATAGGCCCATATGTTTGTGCTGAATGGAACTATGGGTAATTAATTTTATCAATTTCTTTAAATTATAGTTTAATCCTGCATTATAATGCTCCGTAATTATATTTTTTGGGTGATATATATATCCATAGAGGATTCCCAGTATGGTTGCACAACATCCCTGGCCTTAAGGCGTTCCGCACCAACGATCGAGTGTTTATGGTATGTACACAACAATAATGTCTTGTTTAGTTTTCAATATATATGTTCAGATGATCGAGAACATGCTCTCACTTAAAAAGTGATCGAAGATCCATTAATCAATCCTAAGATTCTGTTCTCGTTTGATCATGTCTCTATGTATATACCCATGTGGTCTGATTTGATGATTTTGAAACTTTCAGGGGGAAATGAAAAAGTTTACAACGTTGATTGTTGAGAAGGTGAGGAAAGAGAAGCTGTTTGCTTCACAGGGAGGGCCTGTCATCCTAGCACAGATTGAGAATGAGTATGGTAATATAAATGGACCTTATGGAGATGATGGAAAAAAGTATATTAATTGGTGTGCCAAATTGGCCAATTCGTTTCACATTGGAGTTCCATGGATCATGTGCCAACAACAAGATGCCCCTGACCCAATGGTATATTCATGTCTCTTAACGCAAAATCTACCATCTATATATCGTGCTACATAGAATTGTATCTCTTTCTTTTCCTAGAATATACGTTACAATGAATATATGTAACATTTTATATTTATGGTTGCCTAATTAAGCTTTGTAAATGATATATATTTGGTTACAGCTTGAAACATGCAATGGATGGTATTGTGACCAATATAAACCCAAGAACCCTACCACCCCAAAGATGTGGACTGAGAATTGGACTGGATGGTAAGTAGAAGAAAAATATGGTTTGAGAATATATATTTTGTTTTATTATATAAAAATATAATGCCTGTGGAAATATATATTGAAGGTTCAAGAAATGGGGTGGCAAAGACCCATATAGGACTGCAGAGGATCTTGCATATTCCGTAGCAAGGTTTTTTCAACTGGGAGGAACTTTCCAGAACTATTATATGGTTTGTGTTCTCTTATATTAAATTTAATTAATTTCCTCTTTTGTTTAATTATTATATATATTTTAAACATTTAATATAATTACTTATAACATGACAGTATCATGGTGGGACGAATTTTGGGCGAACAGCTGGTGGTCCATATATAACTACTACATATGATTATAATGCTCCACTCGACGAATATGGCAATTTAAACCAACCAAAATATGGTCACTTGAAGGAACTTCACAATGTGTTGCACTCCCTAGAGAAGAATATTGTGTATGGTAATATTACAACCACAAAGCTAGATAACTCTATTCAGGTATCTTTTAGTGTAACTAATTAAGTTCGATTTACGTAATTAATTGAAAAAACTCTAAATTTTTGTCCGTGCACCGTACCGCTTCAGGTTACAGTTTATGCCTTCAATGGCACAAAAACCTGTTTCTTTAGCAATTCTAATGAGACAGCAGATGCCACCATCAACTACCAAGGAACTGATTACAAGGTTCCTGCTTGGTCTGTTAGCATTCTCCCAGATTGTAAGAGAGAAGTTTATAACACTGCCAGGGTATAAATTAAATTTGGTGATTATATTGATGAAATTAAGGAAATACCCAGACTAAATACTACAGTTAAACTAACTGACTATGTTTGAGGGTGTTTAGGTAAATACCCAAACTACAGTGATGGTGAAAGAGGGGGGTAAGGCCGCCGCCGCTCTCCGGTGGTCTTGGAGGCCTGAGGTGGCGGATGATACCATTCTTCACGGCAAAGGTCAATTCACCGCAAATCAAATTTTGGATCAAAAGGTTGCCAATGATGTCAGTGACTACATATGGTACATGACAAGGTATATATATATTTTTAATTTTTTTTTCTGTAATTAAATTTTAGGTGACAATTTTATATTACTAATTTTTATTTTTATTTTTTAAATTTTAGTGTAAACCTAGATAAAGATGACCCTATCTGGAGCAAAGACATGAGGCTTGGGGTTAATGGCACGGGTCAAGTGTTGCATGTTTATGCCAATGGGAAATATGTTGGTATGATTATTATTGATTCTCAATTTTTCCATTTGGTGATTAATTAGAAATCTCAAAATTATATCTAATATAATTTATAATTAAATTGACTACAGATTCTCAATGGAATAACAATTCCTTGTTCGAGACAAACATTAAATTGAATCATGGGAAGAATCTACTCACACTCCTTAGTGCCTCTATTGGATTTCAGGTTCATACACATTAAACATTATGTTGGGTTACGTTCATAAATATTGCATGCAATTTCTAGTAAAATTATATTATATTGAACTTCAATTCACGCAGAACTATGGTCCATATTTCGATTTGGGTGGAAACGGACTCTACGGCGTTGAGATTGTGGGCAAGAACGGCGACGAGACCGTACGTAAAAACCTCGGATCCCACAAATGGTCGTACAAGGTTGGACTCCGCGGCGAAGAGAATAAACTCTTTAGAAGCAGCAACAAATCTCGCTCCGCTTCTCAATGGCTTTCCGACCACCTTCCCACCGCTCGTAGGATGACTTGGTACAAGGTACATACATATAATAAATTATCATTCTTGATTTGAGCTGATCAGCTAGGCCCCGCATACCCTCGAGTAGTGAATGCTGGTTTCTGTTGATCAGCTAGGCCCTACATACTCTCGAGTAGTGAATGCTGATTTCTGTTGATCAGCTAGGCCCCACGTTCGGGTAGTGAATACTGATTTTTGTTGATCAGTTAGGCCCCACATACCCTCTAGGAGTGAATGCTGGTTTCTGTTGAATATTGTTATAATAAAATAATTTGTTACATATAGACGAGCTTCAAGGCTCCGGCGGGGCGAGATCCGGTGGTGGTGGATCTGATGGGTATGGGAAAAGGGTTTGCATGGGTTAACGGCAACAACTTGGGCCGTTACTGGCTGATTCTGGCGAAAGGCGACGACTGTCCGACGGAGGCGTGCGACTATCGAGGCGAATACAACAACAACAAATGCCTCTCCAACTGCGGCAACCCGACGCAGAGATTCTACCACGTCCCGCGCTCGTTCTTGAACCGCCGCGGCGACAACGAGTTGGTCCTGTTCGAGGAAACCGGCGGCAACACGTCGCGGGTCCGCTTCCAGACGGTGAGGACCGGAGGCGTTTGCGCAAGTGCGTACGAGAACAAGGTGGCGGAGATATCGTGCCAAGGCGGCCGAAACATTACGGCGATCAAGTACGCCAACTTCGGCGACACAAGAGGAAGCTGCGGCGGCGGCTTCGAGAAGGGCGTGTGTGGCGGCGCAAAGGACGCCGTGAACATCCTTAAAACTGCGTGTTTGGGGAAGGCTTCGTGTTCGGTTACGGCTTCTGAGAGCGTGTTTGGAACGACGAACTGCGCCGGCAGCCGTACCAAGAAGCTCGTGGTGGAGGCTGTTTGCTAATTTAAGTTATTTTGTGTTCATAATAAACCTAGCTAGCTAGATTCTTTGTGTTAGCAGTAGGTACGTAGGTTGATTAGTTAGCTAGGTAGCTTGGGTATCTGTTAAATAATTTTTTAAAAAAAACATCTATAAATAATTAATTTTACCTTACAAGATTGCTGTTCTATCTTAATTATATTGGGTATTTGGGGTATATTCAGATCTATACTCGTCCCGAGTTTGCAGGGATGCATCATAAAAAAATTATGAGGCATTCAATATATTTAAGGCACAAAGAAGCTAGGTCGATCATCTCGAGGTGATTGACTATATATTCTATTCCCAACAGATTAATCTACATTCAACTATAACAAGCCGTTATTGTCACTTACACCATTAAAGTTAAACCCTTGGCATGTTTTTAGGCCACTGTTCACATGAAAGTTATACTGCATGTTTTGTGGCCACTATTCTTGGATTGTGAGTGGGAAATTTAAGTAAGAATCAAAGAGATAATGAACATTTTGATTGCTCAATTGTCAATGTATTCTTTAGTTTCTAATTTTAACTAATTTCGTCATCCAATTAATTAATTTTTTGCCAATTGAACCTTTCTACTATTGTTCCGTCATGAAGCCGTTGATGACCCCGTTATTGTCTGGGCATTTTAGTCATTTCCCGTCACCTCCCATGAGAGAAGGGAATTCAAAATCTCATTCGATGCTGAGAGATTACAAGATAGAGACCTATATCAAAATTACCACTTAACTCTACTAGACTATAGACTAGAATTAACTAACTAATTAATTTACAGCCACAAGTATACAAACTATATAATATAATACAATAATAACATTATTACTAACACCTCCCTTTTATTACCCCAAGAACAGGTTCAAAATCACGATCAATTCCTTTTTCAAATACAGGATTATAGATTAGATAACACATTCAATTACGGTACTCATACTGCTCAGTAGACACCAATACACCATTTAGGGTTCTGAGTCAGGTATGAGGCAAATTAAAATATGACTAACGGTCTACCATTTAGAGGCAACACAACAAAAACATCAACTGTAGCTGGAGATCAACACGACTATCGCTTTCGCTTATACGAAGTTATGTTTCTCGTATAGTATTGTTCAGTATAGTTGGATTATTTATATCTAACATAAGAATCAAATTAGTATTTAACTCGTACATATAATGTAGGAATTATGATATACTTTGGGGTATCACAAGATTCAAAATATTTTTTTGTAAAAAAATTAAATTAAATTAATTTAGAGTTAATTCTAACAATATAGTCTTCCAACTATTGTGATTTTCTAAATTTGGTCATCGTCTTTTAATTTGGACGAAATAAATTCCTTTGACTATTAGAATTGTTCCACCATTGGTCCATCCGTTAACAAAGAGTTTGATAGATGTTAGTGGAGGGCTAAAATGATCATTTTCTATATTGAGTTGTTGCATGGTCGAGTATATGTATACATTACACGCAGTAGATACCCCAAAGTATATCATAATTCCTACATTTTAACAGTCCAATTATTAAAGTATATATCACATTCTCAATAACAAATTAACAATCCAAAAATTCCAAATTCACACTACAGTGGTGCACCTCACACGGCTTTAGATGAAACAAATTGAAGCCTTCACAATATCGTAGATTTCAGTCGAAGAATCAAGAATGGGAGCCTTAGCGATGTAGAATCAATGAATAAATGATTGTAGCAAAAATGAGTGATGATGAGTGTACGTGTGTGAAATGTCGTCCTCGGGGGATTGGGATTTATGGCACATAATACACAATCACAAACAATTAGGGACTAGCATAAGGAAATCGATCAACAAGAATCTAAGAAAATAACAAGTTTCAAAGGTTACGATAACTAAACAAAGTAACACAAACACATATTAACAAGATATAAACACTAAACAAAGAAATAGGACTCAAGCTATGGAGTATTATCATCTAGATGCATAGCGCAATCTAAGGATTGGGGAAAATCACACAACCAAGAATTTGAGAGGATGCACGTAGGAATCCTAATCTGTCACTCACGTGAGCAAATTAAAAAGGATTAGAACGTACAACAAGGAATTGTCCCACTCTCGTGGTGAATCAACTCCAAGTTCTTCAAGAACACAAAGCATCACTACTAACCCCCAATTTTCCATATTTTCATAGGAATAAATCGCGTTTATGCAAGGAGTGGCTTAAATTCTTGACCCAATTCTCATTTTAGCCAAGAATTCTCCAAAACATGTTGATGAATGTTGTACACCAAGCATTAACAAAATACGAACACACAAATCCTTCATAAACTCAAGAACCCTAGGTAGGCAAAAATTCCCTTTATGCACTAATCACAAATAGAGCATCAAGATTGACAATACAACCCTAACTCAAGTCCATAAATTAACTACTCATGATTAAATAGCATAAAGAACACAAAAACATAGTGTAAAGCATAAACATTATAAGATAAAGAGATAAGAGAAAGAAATTTCTCTAAAGAAATTGGATGGTAAAATCTTGAAATATTAGAATCGAAGCTTCAACTCCAAGATTACAAGCTTCAAAAGTATTAAGAAACCTAAATCTAAGCCCAATTTAACACTAAAATATGAAAGGGAGTGAAAGAGAGAAGCTAGAGCTCAACCATGGGTCAAAAACCGTGTGAAAATGAGTGAATCCGCACCTAAATAGTGAACAGAGCACAGAGGGACTGCTATCCCTGAGGCAGTACGCAATATTCCAGTGTTCACTAGAATAAACGTACTGGCATGCGTACGGGCGTACGGGACTCTCAGCTACAAACTGCTTATGGATGCATGGTCAGGTGGATGGGCGTACACGAGGCTCTTGAAAATTCCTAAACGCATTCCAAACTCTTTGATTGATCTCTTGGTCCGAGAATTGCTCGAATCTTCCCAAAAATCATTGAATTCCTCACTGTTGTAAATGATTGCACCTTGACATAAAATGAACATAAATTAGTCACAATTCACACAAGTTTTTAGGCAATTCACAAATAAAATGGGTTCAAGAAAGGGTAAAGATATAGACAAAAATGCATTTATCAATAAACTCAATGAAGAAGACATACCTAGATTCGCATTCGCAGTTGAGGGCGGGAAGCAGCGACGTCGGCTGTCGTCTTCTTTGCAGATTCGAAGGGGAGGGCTGCGTCGCGTCGACTCGTCGGCCTTGTCGTCGACCGTCGAATTTGGCTTTGGAGGAGCGACAGGAAATTAATTAGGGTTTTAAGAATTTAGATGTTAGGCATTATAGATTTGAGGTCTGAATTTTAATTTTTAATTGTTAAAGGGTTAGTTCAATTGCTATAGAGTTAACTTGACATCTAACCCATCATGCTAGCTCAAGTGGATGGCAAATGAGCTTTCTTTGTGGTAAAAAAGAGGAAATTACCAATTTGGTCCCTTGACTATGTCGATTTCAACAATTCAGTCCTAGTCTTTTTGATTTCTTTAATCAAATCCTCCGACTATCAAAATTTTAACCAATGTAGTCCTCCGGTGACTTGGATGGCATATTTTGAGGGATATTATGGGAAGTTCACTATGCTCTCCGTTCACCGGCTATATGTTCATTGTTCACCAACACCTAATCGATGAACAACGAACAACAACGAAGCCACACTGCTTCTTCGTCTCCGTCTGCGACTCTCTCCACTTCTCCAACCAACAACACTGCTTCTTCGTCTCCAACATGGGCGAAAGGTCCTCTTCTTCCTGCCAATCAGATCAGAGGGTTCATCATTACGGTGAGTTCATATCAGTTCCCAATTGTAATTGTGGGCATTTGTTGAATCTGAAAACTTCGTGGACAAATGATAACCCTGGGAGAAGATATTGGGAATGCTCTCGTTCAAATGTAAGTTTTTTTTATTTTTTTTTGTAATCCTAGTTGGGAATTTTGATCACCATGTTTTTGTTGAAGTTCGAATGTGAGAATTTGGGATTTGTTTTTGTACAGGGCAATGTGTTTGGATGTGGGTTTATTAAATGGTTCGATCCTCCCATGTGCTCAAGGTCGAAGAAAATAATTCCAGGATTATTGCGAAGAATAAATCGCCACGAAGAAGAAAATGAGGCATTGAGAAGGAAAATTAGGGTAGCTGGCAATACTAGAATGAATGGCAAATCAAGTGTGAATTGGAAGTTTACTCTTAAACTATTGTTCGTTTGGACTGTAATCTTAGTGTTGGCAATGTTGTATTTTTTGTCATCTGTATCTAGTGTTGAAGTTAGGGAAAAGAGGCTTAAAATGTTGGCTTGATATTATGTTGTAACATGTTAACTATTTGTTGAATCAATGAAATGGTTGCTATGTTCCTGAACCTTATAATGTTAACTTGGTGTTGTTTATAATGTTATCTTGGTATGTTGTTTATTGGTGTTGAATGATACTGAGCAGAGAGTAAATTATTGGTGTGGTTTATAATGTTAAATTGGTCTATTTGAATGGTGTGGTTCACTGCCAAAATAGAGAGCTATTGACTCAAGAAGTTTCGTGTGGTTCACTGCCAAAATAGAAGTATGGTTTAATTGACAACTAACAAGAAGAGTCAAACATAGATTTAATAGCAAAGTGTTGTTGACTGCCATAACAGTTTACATAGATTTAGTAGCAAAGGGTTGTTCACTGCCAAAACACTTAACAACCACCCAAAAAACCACAGTTTGGCAATGTTATGACCACAAAAAAAAAAAAAAAAAAAAAAAAAAAAAAAAAAAAAAAAGAAACTTCATAATGTTATACTCCTACTCAATTTCTATTGGCTCCTTAGAGTTCCCATGGAACTTGCTCTTGAACATAGATTTAGATCTAGTCTTGTATTTCCTGGTTAATCCCAATGCTTTCTTCTGTTTTCCTCCCTTCTTAGACATAGCCTTAGGGGGTCCTCTAGCATAGGCTTCTGATGTTGCTTCCTCTGATTCTGTGTCATCACATGGTGGTTCTTGTGTGTTATCAAAAACCTCCCATGGGATTTGAATTGCATCCCATTGGTCCAGCAATGGATCATCTACATTGAAAGCAGTTCCATCCACTTCAGCTCCATTGAAAGCAGTTCCATCCACATCATTCTGATTCACTTCATCTCCATTCACAGCAGTTCCATTCACTTCAGTCTCATTCTCACATCCATTAGTAATCTCTATGTCAACTACAAGGTAAAAAAAAATAATTAATTGGGAACTCATTCTGACTTACTTCATTCAGTTTAGAAATACAAACAATTAATTACTTAAATCATTCAGATCATTGACTTCAGCCTCATTCACAGCAGTTCCATCCACTTCATCCAACAATGGATCAACTCCATTCACATCAGTCTCATTCTCACATCCATTAGTAATGTCTATGTCAACTACAAGGTAAAAAAAATTAATTGACAACTCATTATGATCTACTTCATTCAGTTTAGAAATACAAACAATTAATTACCTAAATCATTCAGATTGACTTCATTAGCTGGAGTATGATTCTGGTTCACTGGATTCTCAATTGTAGCACTACTTTCACCAAGGTGTTGTCTGGGGTTACTTGCTTTCTGTGAAACATAGAGTAGCAATTAGTTTTGAAGTTAAGGAAAAGAAGCAATTAACAGAATGTATACCTTCTTGTTTTTTGTCAAAGGACAAGTCCTGCTGTTATGGCCTGGTTGCTTGCAATGTGTGCAATGAAGCCTCACAAAACTCCTTGATACATGAACACCATCTTTAGTTAGCTTTACAGGTTCTTTCTCAGCTTTCTTCTTCCTTTTATATGTTCTCTTTTCATTTGGCAACTCTCCAGCAGATCTCATTCTCAAATTCTTAGGCCTTCCAACTTGTGTTTTGTATAATGGTGGCAATGGTGGCTCCCTTTGAATGACAGGCCATTCATCAGGTCCAGCAATTGGATGAATACAACCTTCATAACTTTGCTTATAAGTCTCGACTGAATAACATGGATGAACATAATCAGAAACATGTCCTTTGCCATATTTTTTCCAAATTGCAGAAACTGCATGTCTACAAGGGATCCCTGTTAGTTCCCACTTTCTACAAGAGCAAATATGTCTTCCCAAATCCACTTGATGCTGATCCACTGGCCCTATTACTTCAAACAAAGTCTCACTACTTTGATAACACCAAAAGGACCCAGCTTGTTGCTCAACAACATCTAGTTTTTTAACAATATTTGGACATATGGGTCCAGACCATTTAGAAGCCTTAGTCTTACAGTCATAAAACCTCACCATAAGTTGTTTTCTTAAAATCTCTAAGCAACTGATCAAAGGATTCTCTCTTGCATCTAGGATCATGGAGTTGAAACTTTCACAGATATTATTAACCAGCATATCAGATTGAGCCCTTGTGTTGAAGTGTGACCTTGACCATTCTGCTGGATGCTTATCTGCCAACCACTCAAATGCCTTCACATCAAGATCCTTTAACTCTCTAAAAGCAGTTGTAAAGGTATTCACTGTTGTTGCTCTTGCAGCCTTACACAATGCATCTTTTATTGGTTGTCCAATAAAACCTGCCACTCTCATATTGCCATGTAAATGCCTGACACAGAATCTATGACTTGACCTAGGAAAAACCTCATGAAAAGCTGGTATCAAACCCTTTTGCTTGTCGGACATAAATGTTAGGTTATTTTCATTGATTTCAATGTCCTCGAGGTCCCTCTGCAATAGCTTTAGAAACCAACACCAACTGTCTTTATTCTCTCCTTCAACAAAAGCATATGCCAGTGGAAAAATCCCTTCATTCCCATCTATTGAAACTGCAGTCAGTAGCATACCTGCCCTACCCTTAAGATGACAACCATCAACACCAATTAATGGCCTACAATACTTGAAACCTTCCCTACAAGCTTCCCAACACACGTATACTCTCTTAAGCCTTTCCTTGCCTCCATCATCAGTTAACTTAATTAAAAATCTGGACATGGGATTTGTTTTCCGGATTTCAGCATCATAACACAATATTTTTTTGAAGTTATCTTCAGCTTCTCCTTTAATATCTCTCTTAGCAAAGGTCATTGCCTTATAGGCTTGTCTAGAACTCAAACTGTAATGCTCAGAAGTCCAAATCTTTTTCCTGAATTCATGCATTGTCATCTTGGAGTTATCTTTAAGTTCTTTCTTCCACCTCTTAGCTACTTTTGAAGAAGTCAGCAGTCTATTCTTCTCACTCCATGTGCAACCTTCATGCTTATCATTGAAACTTAGTACCCTCCAGCACACCTCATCTGGCACTCTTCTCAATGTGATCTTCCAATTGCAACACTCATGGGTACAAATGGCTACAACTCTGACCTTGTCATTCCTGATGTACTTCAACTCTTTCCCATTTCTAATTCCATACTCTAAAACTGCTTCTTTAAAATCTTTTTTAGTTGTGAATGTCCTCCCAATCCATAATACTGGAGCATTACCTTGACCTGTAGGCCTACCTGCCTGCCACACATCCTCTTGGACTTCTTCATCACTTTCCAGAATTTCCTTATCATCAGATAAGTCCACATTTTCACCTAAAATAGTTTCTTCTCTCCTATGTTCAGTTTCTTCATTATTTCTTCCAACCCCTTCAAATTCCACATTTTCATCAATGCATTTATCAAACTCTATATCATCTTCTACATTACTGCCATCATCAACATACTTCTCACTACCATCATCATCGTATTCCTCATCCACATCATCATCATTCTCCTCACTACCATCATCAACATACTCCTCACCCCCATCATCATAATCCTCATCCCCATGACTTAGGTTTAATGGGAAACTATAACAACTTGTATATAATATAATAGCACAGAAAACAATAACAATAAAAAAAGTAGTTTAAACAAAGCAAGTAAAACCACTTTAAACATGCTGCCTGACAACAAAATTAACAAATAAAAGTAAAAGCACATGGTTCCCATATGACTTCAAAAATTAATCGGATTGCAACAAAGTACTTTGGTCCCCACTGGTCCCCATTTGCTCACAAACTGCTCCCCATTTACTCAACACACTGCTCCCCTTTTATGCACAGACAACACAATGGTCCCCATTAATATTGGTCCCCATTGACTCACACACTGGTCCCCATCATTACCAACTACGAAAATTCATATGTATATGGTCCCCACTGAGAATATACTACAATAAACCAAGTCTCTTTCTTTCCGCATTACAATAAAGCAAGATGTGCAAAGTATAAATACCTGGTCCGCTTCCACCATCAGTTGCCATTATTTTGTTTCTTCGAACTTCAGACAAGTTCACCTTCTACTTCGCCTTCTTCTTCGACTTCCACTGCGCCTTCTACTACCCTAGGGTTTATGTTGACAAAGTTTGGGGATTTTGACTAAAGACAACAAAGCTGGTTAATTAAAGTGCCAAATATTAGGCTTCAGCGGGAATAAATGCGAAGTTACAAAACTACCCTTACCATCGCCGGAAGTTGGCCATCCAAGTTACCGGAGGACTACATTGGTTAAAATTTTGATAGTCGGAGGATTTGATTAAAGAAATCAAAACGACTAGGACTGAATTGTTGAAATCGACATAGTCGAGGGACCAAATTGGTAATTTACTCTGGTAAAAAATTTTGAGATAACTCGGGTTCGATTTCCACAAGTGACAATTTTTCTTGGACTAACTCCCTTGTCTCGAGAACTGTTGCTGGAATTAACTGAATTAATTTATTAAGTTTCTTGAGATGCATTGAAACAGGCAGTGACGAGGAAGGGTGCATGCATCTAGATTCCTTGTATGGATCATTCGTTCTAGATATAATGTACCAAAATGATGACGTCACGCACGTGATAAATGCGAAATTTTGTTGTTTTTTTCCTCCTCAACGCGCCTGCTTACTGACTGCAATACTACACCTTTGTCTATATATTACACCATTTTTTATTAGTTTTTCTTATTCAATGTCCCTATTATACCTCACGTTTTAAATGCATGCTATCTATTTCGTTGCAACCTCCTCCACTTTTTTTTTTTTTTTTTTTTTTTTTTTGTTTTTATTATAGTTAAGATTATCATCATCTAAACTCTGATATCAAAGTAATATTATCCACCCCTCCAATCTTTCCCTATTAATTATCTAATTTGACAATTAACTTTCTTTTTAACTAATGGTGGGATCAACAAAACTATAGGCACCAATGATTTTAAGTCACATCATGCGAGAAAATATTAAAGAAGAATTTAGGAGGAAAAACAAAATCATTCTTATGTGGGTAAGAATGAATACAAAAATTATGAAGAATAACTATATTACGATCATATACATTAATTAAATTAGACATGACTGTCATAAAAAAGACATGATCCTATTCACTAAATTGAAAATGCAGTCACGTAGAATACAAATTTTGATGAATACTAAAGACATTTTGGATGAACGTATAGTAACACCGCGCGAGGGGGATATCCGATTAAATGTGAAAGGACAAGAATGACATTGATTCCAGTGGCAAAAAAAAAATTCCGGAATCAATCAGTCATTTGATTGCCCTTTTTAGTTTTTATCACTTCACAACACGCGCGGCTTTAGAAATTCCAGAGGAATGATCCGTCGTAGGTTTCTTCTACGTAGTCGGTGTCGGGAATGGGCATCGGAGGGACATAATAGTCATTTGAGAAATCGTCGAACCCGGGAAAGTATCCGAAATCCGTAACGGCGTTATTGGCATTACCACCCAATGATGAGAAGCGTTGAAGAAAGCCGTGATCCAGGGCGGTTTCGGTCATTTCACCTTCGGCTTGGTGGACGGCTCCGTCGGAAACCGACGGCGACGGCGACTCGGCGCCGGAAGAAAGCGAAGTGGAGGGATCGGAAACCTGCTGTTCCATCGCTCCGGCGGCCCTTGGGGGTGGCTCCGAGTTGGCGAAATTGGCGGCGGCCACCTTAATCTGGGCGAGGCTCATGGAGTTGCCGTCGACGATGTCGGGAGGGTTGTCGGGGAAATTAAAATTGGCATTTTTACCGCGCAGACAAAAAAGGGCGGCGTCGAAGGCCCTCGCCGCCTTCTCCGGCGAATCGAAGGAGCCCAACCAAATCCGTTCCCGGCTGTTTGGGAGCCTAATCTCCGACACCCACTTCCCCCAATTCCTCTTCCTCACACCCCTGTACTTACAAGGAGAAGATGAAGAAGACGACGGCGATGAAGTCGAAACGTTATCGTTCTTTATTGCTTTCTCGGGTTTCACCATTACTAATTAGAATTGATCTGAAATTAGAAAACGCAGAGTTTATGGATTGAAGGTATTTAATTTGGTTGTATATGAGATGGATCGAGAAGGCAGGGAGGGAGATGGATAGAGGAGTGATGGAGAAATGGAAATGGCGGCTCAATATATATATATAAGTAGTGGGGACTGGGGAGAGTGAACTGTGAAGAGTGGAGGTCAAACAGGCCGTGTAAGCTAACGCGGTGCATCGTAGAGTCGTAGTATAATTTGGAGAAGATTAGGCGGCACGTGCGCGTCGTTAATTACTCGTGAACAAATATGTTGTCTCCAGGAAGCCACCACACACTCCAGGGGATGCCCTATTTTACTACTCTTCTGCCACATACTCATGTCGGACCCACATGTCTCATGTCCCCCGGCCAGACACAGCATCTGGTGAGACTCGATCTCAGATTATTATTCTCAAACTTTATCTTTGTGACCAACTGAGCTGTTAATGTGGATAATATTAAAATATTCAGATTAATTTTAAATTTTCTGGATTTTTACTCAAAAATTACAGGAGAAGATAAAAATTTCTTCTTTTAAGGTGATCGGTTGAATTATTTGAATCAGTCTCACATGTTTACGCCCTTTAGGGCTTTAGATGTATTCTTAATTTTTAATTTGTGTTGATCAATAAAAAAAAATAAATAAAAAACAGCACGGACGGAGACAAACCGTCTCTGGCCAGCGAACTTCGTCTCCCTGGCATGGCCGGAGACATCTCCGGCCACGGAGATGAATCGGCTTCGTCTCTATGGCCAGGAGACGAAGGTCTCTTCGTCTCCTCGATGGCCGGGGACGTCTCTAGCCCAGGGAGACTATTCGTCTCCATGACCAGAGACGTCTCCTGGCCATGAGACCTTCGTCTCGATGGCTGAAGACGAAGGTCTTCGTCTCCTAGCCAGGGAGACGAAGTTCGACGGCCGGAGACGGTTCGTCTCCAGTCGTTTTTCTTTTAATTAATTATTTTATTTAAAATTGTTTTTGAAATTCAAAACTGCCACGTCAACAAAATTTAAGGTAAACAAGTTATTTTGGACCTAATTGCATTAATTTGTGTTGTTGAAGGATCTAAGGGTGTGTTTGGTTCGCACATAGGAATCGGAATGGGTATCAAATACTTGGTAATGGTAATGGGTTTTGGTGAAAGTATTTAACATGTTTGGTAGTAGGGTGGAATGAGAATGGTTACTAATAGTAGTGGTTAAGAATGAATAAGGGAATGAAACCCTTATTGTATTTGGGTATGGATTTTTCAATTGATGGGGTATTCGAAACCCATAGTAGTGTTGTAAAAACCTATCAACCAAACAACAACAATCACTTTCATACCCATTCCTATTGTCAAAACCCACCAACCAAACACACCCTAATTATATATTTTTTAGTTGGATGGCTTAATTGCACTTTAATGTATAGTTGAGTGACCTATTTGACCATTATCCTTTTTTCTTTTAATAAAATGATATTTATTAATATATAACAAAAGTCTTACTTTAAAGAATACGGTCATCATTTCTGTTATTGTATAGGAGTGATATACGGAGTAATTGTTACGCGTTCTGACCCACCAAAAGCGACCATGAAATCGATGAATTCACACTCTCTCTTATCACTTATCCATTTTCGATAATAGAATTTTCCTGTTTATCTTTTTTATGACCAAAATTTTGTGAGTATTTGTAGCAAGCATGTATTGCCCACCCACATGACCTAAAAGGACACTACATAAGCTTGTTTTCAGGAATATTTAATTATGTCACTAATATTATCTTATCATATTTAAATTTTATCCTTAACATTTAAAATTTTTAAATCATATTGATTGCTGGATATATATTAAATTTTAAGTCCAATTGGCATGGCGCAAAGGAAAAGCATGCGAACTTAAGAGTAATTTTGGGATAATCAGGGACGGAGCCAGAAAATATGTTGAGGGGGGGCAAAGAAGTAGGGATCGATTCAATGGCGGATTTAGAAATATTTTTTAGTGAGGGAAAAAATTAAAATAAAAGAGAAAGTTTAAAAAAAAAATGAAATACTTAAAGAAGTATAACAATAAATATTGTTGGATATAGAGAAAAATAAAACATATTAAAACTTTATAAAAATATTTATAACAAAATATGAAACATAATTAATTTGATAAAACAATTCGAATATAAAACACATTATAAATTACACATTCCATTATTAATATAAAGAAAGTTATAATGGAAGTTATATATATCATGCCAAAATTTAATTGTGTTAATCAAAAAAGTGAAAAAGACTGTGACATTGTCAATGCAAAGACTCGAACCCAAGCCATTCCAAAACTCATACATGTTAGCTACCACATTGTCTATCACAGCTTTTGTTTGCATAATTTGTTTTATAATACTTATATGAATAATGTATAATATATACATATTATATACAATATAGGGTAGGGGTGGGGTGGGGTGAGGGGGGGCAGCTGACCCCCCTGCCCCCCCTCTGGCTCCGTCTATGGGGATAATGTAAGATCGGCTAGGCATGAGCTCAAAGGATGTATCCGGGAGGCCTGTGGTCAATCAAAGGCTACCAAAGAAAGTGGAGGTTACATCATTTTTCAGTCCTTGGGTTGCCTACTAGAATGTGTGGTGTTCAGATCGCTCGAAAAAATTGTTAAAGAGTAATATAAATAGTAAATTCTCTGTCTAGTTAAGACACACTTTGCGCTCTACAAACATTACATCTTGCAATATTCAAGCTCTTAAAATAAGATATTACATTGTCATTTTCAAGCATTTCCTATCCTTATCTTCATATCTTAATCTATAGTTTAGGTTAATTGATTCAGGTTATCTAAATTAATTTTCTCAATCACATATCGTAATGTGTATTAATTTTTAAGATTTATAATGTGTCGTTTGAATTTCATAGAGAAATATATTTTTCAATCACATATTATTTTATATATGTTATTAATCTTAATATTTTATATTTTGTCCTAAACTTTGTTTTACCATATTTTAAATTATTGTACGTTTTTTTTTTTGTTTTTTTACTCCTGCTCAAGTGCTCAACAAGATTTCTAGAACGTCAATGGCTCCAAATCTTCAACCCATATTGCAAGCTGGAGAGATGGCAATGTTTTTCATCAAAACTGGAACTGTCTTTGTCAACCAATTCAAAGGACACGCAGGTGAAGGGCCAACAAGGCAAATAAATACATAGAGTAATCTCACTAGTTTTTTTTTTTTTTTTTTCTTTTTTTTTTTTAGGTCCAAGTACGAGAGAGAATGAGGAGGGAAGAGGGAAAACAAAAAGAAGCAATTCTGACAAAATCAAGAAAAAAATTAAAAGAAAAAAAAAAAGAACAAGAAGGAATCACACCCCATCATGCATGATGTGTGTACTGCACGCGCCACACTGGACGCACAAGTGCCCAGAACAAAATTTTACTTATTTCTCTCACAATGTGGACCTCATAAAAAATCATCTCCTGTAAGAGGACTCCAATTTTCTCTCTCATATACTCTTTTATTCTCTTTCCTCAGCTTCATGTTTAGCCCTAAAAAAAAAAAAAAAAAAAAAAAAAAAAAAAAAAAAAAAAAAACTAAAGTAGTTGTTATAATAGAAACACTCTTTGTGTATTACTTATTTCCCCTACCTTATCTCCATGTTAACACCATCACATCCAAAAACAAAACCTATAACTTCGATTATTATATGGTCGGGTCTGTTGTATTTGTTTTTTCTAGTGTGATTTACGGACTTTACACATTTACACGTACATGAGTGAGACTTATTCAATATACACTCGTAGATAGTAGTTGAGGGTTCTCTCGTTACGCAAAATAAAATTCTCTTACCATTCACAACAATAGTTAATAATCAGGTTACTAATGTAACTGTAAAATTCAAAAATTAGATCTTTCGTGTGTATATCTTATTAAAATTAAAATGGCTATGCACTAGATATAAAAAGAAGAAGAATAAGATGATGATGATGTTACACTTCTATTAATTGATTTTTAAAATTTACTTTTTATATTTAATTATTTCATTATTTCCGTAATAATATTTGTTATACACCATTGCATCAATCTAAAATCACCCCCCAAAAAATTAGAATACCCTAACCCAAATAGTCTATCTACGAAATACATTTAGTATTTAATATTTAAAAATTTTAATATATAAATTATAATTACAATAAATAATTCAAGTTCAAGAAGCTAGAACATGGATAGAAATTAACATTTGAATATTTGTTATCTAAATCAGATTTATATTTAGATTTTATGGAGTATATATTTCAAGATGAGATATTCAAACCATATATAATTAATCAAATTTATCTCTAATCTTAAAAACATTAATTAAGAGGGTAATTATTCAGATGTTGTCTCATTATTTAACACTTTCCAAAGTACATTGTGCACTTAATATTCATTGGAATTAATAAAGCAGTCAAAGGTTGAATTGAATTTAATAATTTATTATTAAACTCGCATGTGTAAAATCTAACAATACAGTGATAAAATATTCGAGCTTGACCTACAAGTCAAAAACAATTACAAAACAAAGGACAGGGGTATGGAATTGTTTAATAATTAATTAATGTAGCTTGTGCTTATATAATATTAATGAATATAAAAGCAGTCCCAATCACAGCAAGATCTACCTAGTATATATAAGACAATAGGAATATGTTTGACTAATCACTAATGTCGAAGCAAACAAAGAAGCTTCCAATTGGATGTGGTTAGGGGTGAAATATGATTATTGTATTAAAATGTTTTGAGTTTAATTATTGTTAATGTTAAAAAAAAACTGGTTAAAGTTGACATTTAAAGTAGACACTTGTGTGAGAGCATTAAAGGTCGAACTTCTCAAAATCTCGTCAAATCGATGCTTCAATTCTTCTAGCACATTATAACCCGAGTCCATCGAAGGTTAAACCTCTCATCAAAAACTCGCCAAATCGACGCTTCAATACTTATAGCATCATCGGGACAAGCAAATTGATTTTAGGAATAAGGGTCAAATAGGCCACTGAACTGCATACCAAGTTGCAATTAGGCCATCGAACTCAAAAAAATACAATTGGGTCCCTAAAT